GGGAAGTCTCCGAGATGTAGAATACGGTAGGTCATAATGAGGTCGACTCGCGCCCGACGGTTGGATAAGGTGTAGATTCCTAGTTTCTCGCACCGGTCTTCATACTCCAAGCCACGTAAACTCGGAATGACCTTAATAGCAATGTGTTGGACCCGTTCGATCTTTTTGCCTCACCTCGGATAATGGGAAAGTAGGCGGGCGAACCGTTCTCTAGCATTGGTCTAATGATGGAAGAAAACAGGCGAGTGGCAACCTTTTCAGACCATGTGCCGAAGCTACATTTGAGCGCCCAAAGCTTGCGCAGTCCGTTACGATATAGCTTGTTCGTGTTGTCCACGGACTTTAGATCGTAGCGCGTGACTACACCTAGGTGCTTCACGGAGGGTGTGGGTGATTAACGGTTGGCCGTCAAGGGTGTACGTTCGGCCCTCAGCACCTTTCCCCAGGCTCAGAAATACAGACGTGACCTGAAGAGGAACTTCTGCAGACCATGTAGCTAAACGTTTGAAGTCTTGCTGAAGTACGCCATAGTCGTCGGGAGCGTCAATTTCCAAAGCTTCATGTCGTCCGCAAACAAGGCACACGGCAACCGGAGAAGATGAGGTAGATCATTGATGTGGATCAGGAACAAAGTGGGCCCTAACGCAGTGCCTTGAGGTACGCCACTTGTAGAGGGATACCAGTCAGTTAGACGGTCGTCGACCTCCAACAAGAAAGTCGCGGATTCACCGGTGTAATGAGCCACCGACACTGCACATTCTGAGTTTATGAAGGAGGACCTCATGGCTGACCTAGTCGAAAGCTTTACTGCAATTGATGAATATCACGTCGACAGACTTCCTCTTGCGTATGCCCGCAACCACTCATGCCTCATCACAAACAAGCTTGTAATGCATGAGCGACCTTGCATAAAACCGTGCTATACGGGCGTCAAGACCTCTTTTCACTGTAGCAACTGCAGAAGTCACATTTTTCTCAGTAGCCTTTGCAAAAATAGGCGTAACACAAGTGGGCATGTAGTTGTCTACTTTGCTAGGCTTCACCACCGAACATTTCCAGTTAATCGGCAACGAATTCTCAGACAGCGGCCTGTTGAAAAAGTCAGTCACAGCAGCAGAGATGATGGCCGAAATTGACTTGAGAATCAGTGAGTGGAGCCCATCAGGTCCGGCAGGTTTGTTGCTGACCCTATGCCTGTGTACACAGAGGTTACAGTAAACAACTTCTTAAGCATAGTCGTTATCTCGCTCACTGGTGTCCACCAAGTTATCAAGTCAATCAGGCCGATTTGGGATCTGATGGCATTTCACCAACCAATAAACTAGTTTATATACCACTGCTCCTGATGAGCATGTTTACCCTGTCGCTGGAATCTAGCCACTTTCCATATCAATGGAAAACGTCATTTAACATGCCTCGGCACAAAGGAGGTCCGAAACAAACGATTGATGACCACCGGCCAATCCACCACGCTCCAATAATCGTTCGGCTATTTAAAGATTTGATCAGAAAGGAGGTGATGAACTTTGTCGATTCTTTGGGCCTGATAACTGATTCGCAACATGGTTTTCTTTGCAAGCGATCGTGCACCACCTGCCAACTGCATTACCTGAACTATACTTCAATATCGATCGATCCCGGCTATGTAGTAGTAATTCTGTTTCTGGACATGCACCAAGCATTCAACGGAGTACCCCACTATTGATTGTTACAAGAGATGGAGGCCTTTGGGATGCGAAACCCATTGCTAAGTTGGCTATCATCATACCTGAGTGGTCGTTACCAGGTAGTCACTCTAGATGACTATCGCTCTTCTCCATGCCTCATCACACTGAGGTCATCCAAGGGAGCGTACTCGGCCCTTCACAGTTTATGCTCTACATCAATGACATCACCACATCTGTAAGACACGGACGGCCATTTTTACTTTGCCACGATATCAAAATCGTCTATAAGCTTCGGCGTAACGAGCTTCACGGAACGCTCATTCAAGATAACTTTACATTCGCTTGAGTCATGGTGCCACACGTGGGTGATGAACCTCTCGGCTAAGAAATCATGCATCGTGTCTTACGACTGTTCCATTCCTGAAGGATCTATCACACTAAACAATGAACACGTCCCTACACAGCTGTCCACGCGTCATCTGGGAACTAGTTACTCGCCTACTTTTAATTTCGTCGAACAGGCCCAATACCAAGTAGCACGTGCCAGTCAGTCTATGTTCAATATATCAAACAAAATACACACAACTCGTGCTAGAGTTGAGTTTTTCAAGCTACTCACTCACCCCATCCTCGAATACTGCGGCATAATATACGGAAATATGAGAGAGTGACAGAATTGCTGTGGAGCACCTGCAGAGGTCATTTACTAAACATCTGATTGGTAAACACACTGCAATGTGTTTTCGAGAATGTTGCAATGAACTTCATCTCGAGCCACTTTGGATTCGGCGATTGAAGCCAAACTTGTTGCTGTATTTCAACATGCTACACAAAAAGACCTATTCCAACCCGTCTACACACAATTTACAACATTGTTCAACTCGAGCGCTTCGCAACAAAGATTTTACACTGAATATACCGAAGGCTAGAACGAACGTCCGCTCTAATTTCTTCCTGATCAGATATAGCTATCTGTGGAATAAACTACCAATGACACTCAGGTCATGTGATAACGTGGCAATATTTAGAAGTAGACTCGCAAATTACCTTGATCTAACTACCATAATGTCTACATTCACATGGGAAAAATCCCTAGATGAGCTATTCCAAGTGGGGCCCAAAACATATAAACACCAATCTTTTCATGACTACGCTTTGGCTTCAATCATCCGCCAGAATGTTAATACATGAAACGCATACTCCGATATTTCACCTATGCACATCGCCCATGCAAGAGCATGGATTCTTCTGTACAAGTTGATCTGTGCCGCTACAGACAGTTTCTCGCATCAGCAGAAATATAAGTATTAGTATTATTGTGATTATTAATTTTCCACCGCAATATTTCACAGCTTCTCATGACCGCTTGATCCAGATCCACCACTTTAACTTGCTCTCTGAGCATGGACTTTAGCCCACGTAATCACACAGGCTTTACGTTTCCGATTTACTAAACGTTGACAAACCTATGCTTTTGGCAACTCCTTCCACTTTTGGTAGAGTTACTCACGGAGAATAGTGCGCTTTGTTGCTTTTCAAGGAAACAGAGTCTCTCGATCTACTGCTTCACACCTGAAATGATGTTTTCCTCTTAGTCGATCGGTCTCCGCTTTCGCGCTTGGTGTTCCCTAGCTGGCCCCACTGGCTCTTTCTTTGTCACTATGAGCTACGTGTAAATCCAAGCCCAGCTTTCATTCTCTGCATCACCAGCCGTCTCGATCTTTAAACATTACGTCAGATGGCAACTTGATGGTACTATCTTGAACAGTAGAAACCGAAACTATTTGGAGAAACACAAAGTGTTAACGCTGTTTAAGCATCCTCCCGGCCTTGGGCATCACAAGCCTGCCTTATAATCCGACGATGCGGGTTCTAGCCTGCGTAGGGACCGGGCGACGGGTCGTGGTTGCTCGGCAGCGAAGCATCGGTACTGTGTACCGGTGTACTCATGATATCTTTAAGCGTCTCCCCATACCTTTCAATGAAAAAGCTTCTTCTTCTTAGCTCCCAGTACATGGTGCTGCAGCAGCATGCTAGCAAAACGTTGCACAAGAGGACAGATTTTATTCGTCACTTTTTAAATTGCTTAGATCCACTTTCAGTCCATTAAAACTGGTTTGCTCCACTTCTCACTGTGAATTGGATCTTGTGTAAATCCGCCGATTTTTTTTTGCATAATTCTACAATCGTAACTTAGTCTTTGTCAATTGCCGGTATGTGTTTTATTAGTCACAGTCACTTATGGTCTTCCCAATAGCCCTATCTTAACTGTAAACTTAATCATGCGGAAAGAACGTACGATTTTGAAGAGACGCTTTTCTCCACGAAACGACCTACATAATTGTAATAAAAGTTTATGTGATCGCTTATTTCAGTTATCGTTTCTGGTAACTTAAATTTTCCGTTTTCATGTTCCAGTGCTTCGTTTTTGGTTCATTGATATTCCATTTTTTCCTTTTGTCGTACTGCCTAGTTTGTATTCGTTACTTGTCGTTTACCTTCTTACATAGTTTCCTGGAACATCCAGTAAACTCGTCACCTCTGGGTATTCCTTCATTTTGTACACATTTGATGATGCAAAATATACTCTATTTTTGCATTGTATTCGCCTACTGCCTTTTCTGCCGCCTGCCTCAACAATGTTGTTGAGGAGAAGGCGGTGATTACTTATATTGCTATCGACTAGATCGACTAAGACTGGTGACAGTTTTGAGCATGATACAAATGCACGGTCAGCGACTAGGTAATCATTTTAACCAAAATCCAAATGGGAATGGTAGTGGAGTACGAACGCGTCGCCGGTCGGATATGCGTCTTCATTGATCAAACCGTCGTGCCAGCGGTAACGTGGAACTGACCTTGTATTCAACTCGAATTAACGGGTTATTTCCGTAGCCATATCCCTTCCTCAGTGGTTAGGTGGCTGATATGGCAACATATCGAAAATGCACTATTACAGCTGGTTTCAGAGTTCATCACATAACTATGTAGCACGAATGGCTCCAGAAGCGCTTATTTTGCGGTGACGTGAGCTGATCCGATCAGCTACTGGTCTAAATGTAGTAGTATAGGGTCCACTAAATTTCGAGATGACTCGTCCTCACTAATGCTGGTCACAACATATCGATGGAAATGACAACACATTATCTAATAAAACAGCATTGCACTACGTATGTTAATGACTTTTGTCTATTACTCAGGAACTTGTTCTCTTGCTTCCTGTTCATATGAGCAAGCTATTGCTCGCTACTTTGAGACTACCTGTATTTTTCTTCAAGGTTTCCTGTAGTCTCTTGTTTCCCCACATCCCATTGCTTTTCACTGTTACGTCAGATCATCCAATGGAACTTTATACAAACGGGCATGGTCCTTGTTTCGATGGATCCCTATCCAAACATCTACGAGCCACAAAACCAGTGAACTGCTACGTGGCTGCTTCCACAACACAAGCCGCTCTTGTTGCAGCCGCTTTAGCTAAAGCTTCTGCAGACCGATCCATGAACACCCCATTCTCACTCACGGAGCGGCCCACTGCTCGCAGACGCCCCAGATGTCCACGAGATGCCCACACTGGATCTAGAGCCAGTGAATCTGACCGACAAATATCTGACGCTTCAGGTAACCGACACTACCCCCTGACACCGATAGTGCCCCTACTTGTGGTTTTGTTTGCTCCATCGTACAGCGTGATAAATGGGTGTTTCTAGTATAACTTGCTCATGTACAGACACTTAGCCTTAATTGTAGGCGAAGCGTTATTTTTATTAGGACAAGCTGTTCTCCAATAGATGAGGTGGCGAGAGCGCAACTAGCACTACTATCGTCGTCGCAATTTCCCTCTTGTTATGTAAGAGCACGGCAGCCACCACGATAATAGACAAGCGCAAGGAATTGTTCGTAGCTTATTATCCACTCCAATCGACCATGGGAAACTGGTCTGGTGAGTCTTCTCATTTTCACCATTTAATGAATCAAAGTACCCATCTGCCGTTATCTCGATTTACTTTCTGAAATCAACTCTTTCCTCATGATTAGTTTTCTCCATTTCCTCTTTCATTGCTTCATTTGTGTTCTACAGTATGGCATCTAATAAGTCGTAATGGGAATTAAGCTAAGCTTTTGCCTGTGGTTACTTGGCTTCCAAATCCCATTTCGCAGGACCCAGTGAGCGCTTTATTTTCTTGGTTTTTGTGAAGCGACCCTGTTGCATTGACTTCACACTTAACAACGGATTCGGCTCATTGTCCTTTTATGGCGTTTTTTAAAATATGCCGTCTTATGCTTTATAAGCAGTGCCTGGAGCATTTTAAAGCTCAGAATCATAGTGCGTTTTTTTGTCCACGGTTCGGATGCTGATGACTTGCAACGCATTCATTTCTCTGAGCCTCTTTTTTGTTTCCCACCGACTGGCACCTGATCGTTGACTTCTTTACTCTTTTCATTTAGATCCGAGCTCATCTGATATGAGTTCTGACAAGCAGACCCGATCCGTCGATCTAGAAATGGAGGCTCTGAGCAACCCCCTTCTCAACATGGTTACGTTCTCTGATTTGAAATACTGGTGCACCGTATTTTACTACGAATTAAACACCCGTGTCGGCGACGCTTTTCATGCTGGTCGCTTGACCCTGACAGTTGATGGTTTTACTGAACCGTGCTACCGAGCGGATCGCTTCAGTCTTGGAAGCCTCAGCCATGTAAATAGACCTGCCCAGGTTGAGACTACCAGAAGACATATCGGTGAGTGACGTCTGCCTCTGGCTTTATCTGTAAGTTGGGGCTAGTCTGGTGGTTACAATTCGGATAGAAACCGCATGCAGTGTATTGTCTTGGTTGGCACATGTTTGTACGATTCATCTGCACGACGTGTAAGTGATACATAGCTGTAGGTGATTTCTTCCTTGCTTCATCTGTGGTGTGATTTGACTGCCTGAATATGCCCTGATTGTGAAATAGTCGAATTTGAGGCATATTGTGATATATGCGTTCTAGTTGCGATCGATTTCTTTAGTGAGCTTCCTTTCTGCGAATATCTCGTTCGCAAGCATAGGAAATTTATAACTAAATACTTCTATTTAAACTTACGTGCATCAATAAACTTGGTACCATTTAGTGGATCTGTCTAAACAACAACTGCAGCTTTCTGTCAGTGTGTATATAAGGGAAACCCACATCAGATGCATCTGTATACACACATTTGACAGGCCAATACTCTGTGCACCTTACGCATTCAACCACGCTGATAGGCACATAGTCTGTAGTTTACGAACATTGCAGCATGCGTACACTCATGATGCCCGATTCTAGTGCGTGTTGAGACAGCTGTTGGGTTTATCCATGGGAGAATTTATCACCGAATTTATCCTATCATTAGTGTTTTTGCTTTCACTCGTATGGTGGTCTTGTTGCGTCGCTGTCTCGAATTTTACACCTTGTCTCCATTCTTTTGAGTCTTCACCTCTGACAGCCTTACTCGTTTTCTTGTTTCATGCATCCATCAGGTCGCGGTTTACGACTTCATCATGTGGGCAATGAAGTCTACTTGGAATGTTTAAGCGACGCTGCCATATTTGTGCAATCTCCCAGTTGTAACCACTATCACAATTGGCATCCGGCCACCGTTGTGAAGGTCCCTCCGAGTAAGCATTTGGTTCAGTTGTTTGTACATGAGGCTCAATAATTCATTAGTGGCCGAAAAATGTGTGAAATATACCACTGTATTTCACACTGACGCTTTTTCGCCATGCATCTCCAAGCGGTTATATGCAGGCTGGATACTGCTGTGTCACCCAAACGTGAAAAGGAGCTCGAACTTGAACGTGGAACGTCATACGCTTCAACATCTGTATCATGGATCCCAGAGTGACCAGTGGTGTCTTAATCGAATATTTGCAACCAGTGATCCGATTAAATATACCTGGCCTTCTCATCTATCTTCCTCACTTGTTCCCTCCGGTCTGTCACTGACCCTGTTACCAACGTCTCTTTGCTTATGTCTCTCAAGATGCAGCCTGCTCTACTCACGCACTTCGCATCATTATCAAATAATTCTGGTGAGGGCGTTGGGTGAATACTGAACTAATTTCACAGGGCTCATTGTAACTGAAGTACGCCCTATCGATGAGGCTGGGTTTCGTCGTTTTTTCCGCTTTCGGTATACAACTCCATCGTTACCAGAATTTCGCGTCCCCGTATCTGCCTTGCAGCTCATGTTAATATCGAAGTTCTCCAAAAGCATGTTTTACCACTGCAACGCCTAACCCGAGGGGTCCTTGATCGATGGATTTCTCTTTTTCAATAAGCGGTGGGCGAAAATTTTCCCTGGAGCGTCTAAGTATGTTATGTTTACCACATTAGCTGTGGCATCTCCGCTCCCTCGATCTAGTCGCGACGGAAGCCCGCCTAACAAATGATTTGTTACCATTAAGAATCGACTGCACAAGAACTGTCCACCCGAATTATCAGAATTGGAATTACGTGATTTGGCTTGTGATATGGCTACCCTCTCGCACTCCAGAAGCAACGTTTTCTTGTGATCGAATAGAATGCGACCTATGTTGTTACTGATGCAGGTCCGTCGCCCTAATGATCCGCAACCTGCCTTGTAATCTGAGGTCGCGGGTTCGAGCCTGCGAAAGGTACTGGGTGATCCTCGCAGTATCCTTAGCCTACGCACGACTGGTGGTGGTTGCACAACAGCGAAGCGTCGGTATTAGCTACCGGCGTATTGCTAATGGCTTTGTCTACACTTTCCTTCATCATTGTGATGTACACCAAAAATTACCGATGCTTGAATGTAATAAAATCGAGGAGAAGAAAACACGGTCAGATTGTTTTATGAGGGTTTCATTGATCACGGAGCCTATCATTTTTTGTAGCCAGATTGCTCGAAAGATTACAAGGATGATATCGGACCCGAAACTGATGTGAACCGTGGGTCTTCTTCCTCCGAGAATGTTTCCGTGGATAGTGATAATAAAACTACAGACTTTGATATGGCTAGCAAGGTTAGCGATATCACCAAGAATAAGACAGCGGCGACACTCATCATTCTGTGGGCCCTCTTAAGCCCCGTCTCATTTTCTGGAGCAGCTGTGAACGGTGAAGGCGCCTGTTTGTCTCATCGTGTAGGGCAGTTCAACTCACATATACGAAATGATCCCACTGTGCTTCACTTCCATTTTAAATGAAAACAGTTCAAGGAACGCCATAACCGTCTTGCACATTTTCCCTTATCTGCGAATCATCTGCTGTTTCTAGCGAATATAAGCTAGGGTATACTCGCCATTTCAGCTACCTTGAATTTTTCATTGGTTTACTTGCAGCTCATTTCATATTCTGTTTTGGATTGTTACTGTGAGGTTGTTAAAGATTTATTTTTAGGAATATCCTACCAGCGTTTACTCCTTACTTCAAAACCACCGAAGATCCATATACTCCTCACGTCGCACGACGTTTGAGATTCATTCCGAGAACACTTTGGACGAGGGGAAATCCCCTCTGTAAAATTTATTTCTCCACTTCCAAACGACCATCTCCTATCACTAAATTTCTCACGTTTTCCTTTTTTCGGTACACCTACTATCGCTTGACAGTTGTGAGAAACTGACACTCGTTTGTGTGCCTCCTCTTGTGTAATATGTGTAGGAATCGTGCCCTGTGAGTATTATGTCGCCACTCGCTGTCCTTGAAGGAAAAGGAAGTATCTGGCGCTTCTAAGCGATGGGATTCTGAATCTATCGTGTGGAGGCTCAGACACTTGGTTTCTGAATTCTACACCTTGGGTTCTGGTTCCTACCATTTCTCGCATCTGAGTTTTCTGACACTATATCAGTCCACGTACAACTATTGCAGTTGCCTGGCAGGAAAGCATCGGTTCGGAGTTCTGGTGTACTGCTGCTACCTTTGACTGTTTCATTCCTGCTGGTTCACCCAATCACTTTCTCTCGCGAGTCAGTTCATTGTAAGGGACGTCACCGACGACATGTGAGCATCCAAACCAATACCACGTCCATATTTCGGACGTCAGCTTCGGCCACTACCTTCAATCTCAATTTTTGCCTCCGAGCATGATGTGACTTAAGAGCGGGAAGTCGACTGAACTGCTCCTGAAATGGCTGCCTTGTGAATACGGGTGCTGTCGTTTCATGTGACCGTCACACTGACGAATGATTCCTATTGCACATGTGTGCAGATTCTTTGGGGTAGCCTCTGGCAATTCACTACTTCTTCTGACTACATTTAATGGACTCTGAACCCACTAAGCCTCTTTCTCAGCTCAGCTCAGCTCTTTCTCAGACTCCGTTTTATCTCTCTTCTGGTAAACCATCTGGTCTCACTGTGCTTGGTGCTAAGGAGGATTCTTCTGGATTTCGAAACTTTCGCTGAACTTTTGGGTGTTTGTTGTCCGTTGTGATGATTACTGGTAGATAGCGTTGCAAGGAGAAACTTCCGCGTAATGTTTCGCAGCATAAATCGTATTCCATGAATGCCTGTTTTTTCTCGGTGTGTTTAGTTTAAACTCTAATAAAGTACCAAATCGTAAAATCAACATATTGCTTTGTTGTACCATTGAGTGTAGTCTGGCCACCAGCACCTCGACTGAGGATAACGGGTACAAGGAGCAAACGCGGGGCTGCTGTACCATTGTTGGTAGATTACCTGGGCAGTAACTTCTTGGTTACATACGCCAAGCAGGGGAGTTGGCTTAGATGATTTCACTTGTAAACACCCTGTACAGGCCTGGCCAGCAAGGTAGCGGGGTAACTAATGTGTATGGCGTTTTGTTGAGAAACCGCATATTGGCTACATGCCATTTCTCTACCAATTCCGTCCATAACGTTTTCAAATTCCTCCTTAAGGAAATCATGTTACCCAATAGATCTTTCAAGATGGTCCCTAACGCTTCTAAATTGCATCCAACGGATGCAAACGCTCCTAAATTACCTACTATTCATTGAGTGACTAATCTCAAATAAGTACGGTAGCACGGATTCGAAGGACCGTTTTGTCGCCCACAAAACGCCGCTGTATCCGAAGACCGTTGGTAGATGTGTGGCTCCTACCTCTTATTAGTGTTAAATTGGCGATTCGGCTTTGTGGCCAGTAGTCATCAACTTTGTTCATTTGCCCTTCACTGCAGGGATGAGAGTGCCGGTGACCAGATATCCCTTCGCATTAGTTTTTACGCAGTGTTGTATGAATCCTTGTGGTATGTAATGGGGATCCAGGACCCCTCACGTTCTGAGATGCTTTTTCCTCTCACTTGCAAAACGGACGAAACTTATTCGCAGCCACTTCTATAAGATCGGCATTCCTCCGTACTCAACCTTGAGACGCATTCACTGACATGCAGGTCCGTTGCAGTGAGAAACCACTGGCTGATCAAGTTTTTCAGTTGACAATTGTGTGGACCGTTTGCTGTACTTTATAATAAATTTCGAAAAGTCGGCGAGTTGGCGCCTGCGTGGTGACACATTTAAGGTCGTCAGCCAAAACCCCAGACCCTGGTGCAGAGCAGTGGGAATGCGGCAACCGATCATGAAATAGGTAAACGTGACCTAAATGTATGCAACTTTCAGCTTAGCCGAACTAAAGATTAGGTTTGTCAGACCACTAGCTATTGATCATCCCGGTGTCAGTAGCATTCAAGACACTCGAGTGCACCACTGATTGCAGCGGAATGGATGGGAGCGATACATGAACCATCGCATCACGTTCTAGTTTAGTCTCGTTGCGATTGGAACGTGCTACCAGTGTTTGTCACCGAAAGTTATGTTGCTAAAATGGATGACTGCCTTGATGGATCACTTTTTGGATTAACCTCTGAAATCAACAAGTGTGGACATCTCCAACAAACGTATTGCGTCTGACTGGCATCTCCGTTCACAGTGGTGGGAACTTCTTCCTGGCACCGGCTGCGTTGCTGATTGCTAACGCCCCTTACGTGACATAGTCGAATAGCAAATAGTTTTGATACCACATCCTACTGCTAGTTTACACTTTGATGCGTCCACTGGTTTCTGCTCGATTCTGCCTGTTTTTCTGGAAGTATTCTCATCATCATCATCGCTCGTCTCGGAAAAGGAACCGAGGGCAAAAGTCGACCTATAAGGGTGACTTTTGTTGAAGAGACAAGTCCTAAGTTAATATTGTCGCGCATTAATAGGCCGAAAGGTCTAAAGATGCACGTGCATGCTGACTTAGACCCAGCAGACAGAGAGAAACTCAAGTCTGCGATGATTGAACTAAAGCGACGCACGGACGATGGAGAAACAAATCTCAGCATTGTAAATTTTCGGATAGTCACTTGGATTCCTCCGCGAATCCGGATCAACAAGTTTCTGATGCTTCAGGCGCGTCCAGCGGTTCCTACCGCAGCCTGCGCATAGCCTTTACTAACGTCTGCAGTCTGATGAACAAACGCGATGAGCTTTGCTACTTTGTAACCCCTCAGCGGCCAGACGTATTAGGCCTTACTGAGACATGATTAAACTCCGAAGTAACCGCCCAAGAAGTGGAAATCAGCAGCTTCTCGTGTTTTCGCTGTGATAGACCATCAAATGATCGCGGTGGCGTTCTGCTTTACATAAGGTCTTCCTTGTGTGAGAGACTAGTGAGCACCTACCGAAGCGCTGATGGTCTATGTGAGCAGTTATGGTTTTCGATTCATCTCAGACGCTGCGAGTTGCTCGTGGGCGTGGTATATCGCAGTCCACTGAGCCGCTGCTTGAACTGGTTGCCGCATGTCCGCAACCACATGAGTCGTCAGATGTTCCTACTCATGGGCGACTTCAACTTGCCCCGAATACAGTGGCCTGAAGCTGAACTTCTCCCCGGCCACTGTGAAGTCGAGAGGAAGTTTGCGGAGTTACTATTTGAAACTGGGACCACACAGCACATCAGCCAACCGACACGCATTACTGCGCGCGCGGCTCCATCATGCTTAGACCTGCTGTTGACTAGCTGTGAGCAGCGTGTGCATAACATTCAAGTCTTAGAGCCTCTGGGAGCGAGCGACCACTCAGTGATCATAGGCAGCATGGAACTACGATTGCCGTATTCTCCCCCACTGGAGCCAACCTTCAACTATTGGAAGGTGGACTTTAATGGCCTCATTCGAGCAGCGAGCCAGACGGACTGGTCTTTACCACAGGATTCATCTATTGAAACCTGTTGGACTATCATTAAAAAGGGAGTGAAATCGTTGTGCGCCAAATTTGTACCCCTCAAATTTCGAAAAGTTGGGCCAGTCAAACCACATTGGTTCGACAAAGAGTACAACAAACTGGCCCGACGACGACGCAGACTATGGAACAAGTTCGTGTTATCTGGCTCTGATGAGGACTACAATGCGTATAAGGTACAGCGAAATCGCTGCAACGACGCGAAAACAAGAAAACGCAGAGGCTTCGAAGAGGAGCTTGCAATCGCCGCAAAAACTGCTCCTAAGAGGATGGTTGCATACGTGAAGCGGCGCCTGAGGCCTGTAGCCAATGTGCCAGTGTTGGAAGGCTCCGATGGACAGCACCTAACCTCGAGTACAGATCGTGCGTCCGCATTGGCGACGCACTTCGCCTCCGTATTTGCAAGGGACCAAGTGTCTGTAACGAGTTCGACGAGTACCGCTCCAGCTGAACTTAACAGCCTGGACTGCAATATTGAGGATGTGCGCAAGCTTCTAGCAAATCTTGACGGGACAAAGCCTGCTGGGCCAGATGGTATACACCCACTGATCCTCAAGTCCCTATCGGCCATCATCGCGCCTTCTGTAACTGAACTGTTTAACAGGTGACTATCTACTGGACTGTTACCAGACGACTGGAAATGCTCAGTCGTAAAGCCTATACCGAAAGGTGGTAACCCAAGTAAAGTGAATAACTACCGGCCGATCTGCCTGACTGCTGTTTTGGCAAAGACGCTCGAGAAGATCGTGAAGAAGAACCTTCTGCAGCTTCTCGAGTCGAAAAACCTGTTGACCTCCACACAGCATGGTTTCATGAAAGGTCGCTCGTGCATCACCAACCTACTGTTGACAAGGCACGAGTGGTTACAAGCGATGAACCAAGGCCATTCAGTCGATGTCATTTACATTGACTTCAGTAAGGCTTTTGACACGGTTAACCATGCAGTGCTCCTTGACAGGCTGAGAATGTACGGTGTTGGTGGTTCGCTACACAAATGGATCAGAAATTTCCTTGTGGATCGGAAGTGGAGAGTCCAGGTGGACAACCATCTAACGGACTGGTATCCATCGAGCAGCGGCGTGCCCCAAGGCACTGTACTGGGGCCGATATTGTTTCTGATCCATGTAAACGATGTGCCTAAGCTACTCCAATCACCATGTGCGTTGTTCGCAGATGACTTGAAGGTGTGGAGAGTAATCCGCACACTCAATGACTGTGATTTACTTCAGCAGGATCTCGACAGCCTCTCAACATGGTCTGCAGAGGTTAACCTTCCGATCAACCCTGCTAAGTCGCAATTCATGAGGTTGGGTAAATGCGAGCACAGCCGAACGTACACAGTGGCTGATCAACCGCTGCATCCCGCGTCTTTCGTGTGCGACCTCGGTGTGCTCTCACGCTGCGACCTAAAGTCCATTGACAACACGAATAGGCTGTACCAAAACAGCCTTCGGATGCTTTGGGCGCTCAGGCGCAGCTTCAGCACTTGGTCCGAAGAGATTGCCGCTCGCCTCTTCGTCTCGATAATACGACCAATGCTAGAGTACGGCTCTCCCGCATATTGTCCCATCACGCTGGGCGAGGTAGAAAAGCTTGAGCGGGTGCAGCATGTAGCCACTAGGCTGATTCCCAACTTACGAGGTATGCCATATGAAGACCGATGTAAGAAACTAGGGCTGTACACCCTAGCATATCGTCGGCTGAGGGTTGACCTAATCATGACGCACCGGATATTACATATGAGTGATTACCCCATGTTGAGAAAACTGCTTCATCTGCGCACACCAAGCTGCACGCGAGGACACCGGTACAGAGTCATCGCACCGAAGTTGAAACGGGTAGCTCACCAACTCTGTTTCGAACGTAGAGTGGTGAATACCTGGAACAACCTGCCGCAGCCGGTAATAGAGGCGAATCCAGTGGCCGAATTTAAGAAGCTTCTAGACAAACACTTTGCAGAGGCAAAATATAAAGAGCGGAACGATAATTAATACGTTAATGTCCAAGAGAGACAATTGATGCAGCTACACAGAGTATGCTCTACTCGCTGCTTCTAATCAATATCAGTATCAATAATACGACCAATGCTAGAGTATGGCTCTCCCGCATATTGTCCTATCACACGGGGCGAGGTAGAAAAGATTGAGCGAGCGCAGCATATGGCCACCAGACTGATTTTCAATTTACGTGGTGTGCCGTACGAAGACCGGTGTAAAAAAACTAGGGCTTTACACCCTAGCTTATCGTCAACTGCGGGTTGACCTCATCATGATGCAACGGATATTACACCTCGGTGATTAATCCATGTTGAGGCCGCTGCTTTATCTGCGCACACTAAGCAGCACATGATGACACCGGAACAAGCTTGTCGTACGAGATTTGAAGCGGGTCACTCACCAACTGTTTCGAACGTACAGTGGTGAATGTATGGAACGACCTGCCGTAGCATGTAGTTGAGGCAAAGTCGGTGTCGGAATTTAAGAAATTCCTGGACAAACACTTTTGCCGATATAAAATATATCGAGCGGACCCTAACATAAAGGATCGTGGTCCCTGAGTGACATTAAATGCAGTCACACAGAGATACCACTTCTTGCTGCTTCCGACCAGTAATCAGTAATCTCGGCGAATACCCCATGTTGAAACCGCTGCTGTATCTGCGCACATCAAGCAGCACACGAGGACACCGGTACAAGTTTGTCGTACCGGATTTGAAGCGGGTTGCTCACCAACTCTGCTTCGAGCGGAGAGTGGTAAATATTTGGAACAACCTGTCTGCAGAGATAGTCGAAGCGAAGTCGGTGCTGGGCTCGAACTTTACCGACTTGAGATTTCAAGAATGATCACCATCATACTAGGTTGATTTGCTTGAAAATAATAGACGCAGCTACACAGAGGCATCTCTATTCGCTGCCTTTTCTCAGTATTCATCATCATTGTAAAGACTATATGAAGCCTAGACTATGTAGTCGCACGAGATGGGGCAAGAAACTGTAGGCAAGTAAACTTATACTATACGCACGGTTTGGGCAGAGAAGTTAAAATGTAAATTCCTGTTACCGTGGTTCTATAGTAAAACTTAAATACAGTAATCACCTTACGAATAGGTTTGCAATCGTAATGGGAAAATGCAGGAAGTAGAGGACGTGCGGAAGCGTGGCAAAACTGTACAGCGTAGCAGTTTGCTAATCGACAGACTGTCAAACATGAATGCCTGACCTTGAGGAATCAAGGATATGCCAATAATGCGAAGTGAAGACGCAAAATGCTTCGTAATTCAAGTGTTAGAAGCAAACATATATAGAATTCTGTAAGGATATAAGTGAAGGGTTTGGGAAAAAGAGGTTTATGTCCACAATAGGTAAACCAGTTTGGCTGAATACTCAAAGTTCTCTTTGAACTTTACAATCATCATCATCGTCGCGACCACTATGAAAGCAAATTCACCGGCGCTTTCCATTGGTGTCATTAAGATTACTAATCTTGAATAAGTAAGGTAAGGTAGTTCTATCCAACGTATTCTATAAATTTGGTAAGAGTTGCGAATCCAGTCCGAGCCTACAGTCTATGCGTTTACCCGATCCCCTTTTTCGTTCCACAGAGTGCAATTTGAAGCTATTCGACAGTCGTGCATTCGCCAATCAACTGATGGAATGCATCTCACGCAACTACGAATCGGTGTTCGCTCTGACCCATATGTGCGCAATCCGGATTAGTTTCGTAAAGGGTTGGGGCGCCGAATATCGGTTAGTTTCGGATGAATTGTCTATATTTTGGTTTGTGTTGTTATGACTTCAGTCGAATTTTATTGTTACCTCTGGTTTGCACTCAAGGAGTACCGGCTTACTGTCTCTGTGCGGTTTTCACTGTCTCAGTTGCCACGATCTATAAACTTAGTTTGTGAACCACCAAGATATTATGACACCGGTCTGAACGGGTAGCTGAGTCATTCCGATACACATTGGTTATTCGGATGGCATTCCGAATGGTGAACTCATTCTTTTCTCTAATTCTCTGTTTCGTTTAGCACCCTAATTGCTTCGATCTCTTCCAATAGGATTCGATGGCCCTATGCGTGGGACTTCTTTCAAATAATACCCTATCATTCGTCTTCGGAATGCGTACCCTGTTTTACCCACGTCTATTTTCCCCACTTTATATGGTATATACATAATATAATGCAATAAATTGTCGCTAGTGTTAGTGGGTTACCGAGCACTAAGTTTTTTTTACTGTTAACGAAAAATCGAATATAGCTACCCAATGTGTTGACTAGGGAGGTATCAACAGGCTCCCTAGCGGACGCGTGCGACAAAATTGTGTAACTCGGAGCGCAATTCAACACCCACGTCCGCATCCTGAATTACAATTGTTCTTAATAACCATACTTTTTGCTTTTCCAGTCGGCAGACGATAACTAGCACTCCCTGCTGGATCGAAATTCATTTGAACGGTCCGCTAAAATGGTTGGATCGCGTGCTCCGTCAGATGGGATCTCCCACGCTCCCCTGTACGTCCGTCAGCTAAAGGAAAATTGCATCGAGCCTGCCTACCGCCGCAGCCCATGCGTGCACTCACACCGATCTCCTTTCCCTCGAAACACCGACCGTTTCATCGTGTCTTTGTGCATACAGAGGCCCCCCGTGAATTCGTCATCACTGTGCTTCGCCTTTACTCCTGCCATCATCTGTGACCGACCTTTCTTTGTCGTGCTCCATTTTGTACGGCATTTACGCTCGGTAGTACAAATGCGCACGACTGGGCAAGTCCACCTGCCTCTTGTGAGCGAAAGCAAAACGTGTCAGATCCTTATTTTTCTTTTTTTCTCATTTTCTACGTCCATTGAGCGCCAGGCTTTTGCACATTGTAACACTGCCATGTGTACTCCAATTATGACAGCTGTACAGACCTGATTCACCGGTTCTTGCTTTCTCTGTGCGATCTCATCACACGCTTCTGCTCCTCCCGTTTATTCGCTACTTCCCGATCCAGTGAGTAGTTGTCAAATTTGTTTTTGTCTCTCGTCTGTATGTAGATGTGCATCAACTTATTCTGATAGCTACAGCTCATTGCATCGGATACATTCAAAACGGTTGGACAATCTCGTGAATACATGTGATGTCCCCTACGAGGTTACTCCGAAGCCTACGAATACAAATCTCATTTTGTACCCTTCACGACTTCTTCCTCAGTTTGTTCTCATACAGCGAAGACCGTATAGGGGTGAGCGTCCTGTTCTTTTCTATCTCGTGAACATAGTGCGCACTGCTACCATCTACAGTCTTCATTTGTGCAAAGTGTAGTTTATCTCTCGGCCCACAATCTCGCGACATACTTCTCATGCGGTCGACTACTGCTTTGGTCTTTATTTTGCATATGGTTTGACGAGACCGTTGCGTAACACAGTTTCAGAAAAGGAGAATAATGAAACTTCACCGTTGCGAATTCAGGGGACACTTCGGCACCATACTGGGCTAAACTCTCCGAGTCTAACACACTTCGGAATAAGCGACGATTCAAAAGAAACAGAAAAGAAACAGAATGAGTCGTTTGGCACTGCACAAAGTCTCCTGGACGTGGCGGACAGGACAGACTTGGATAAAAAATGTGCCAAAGTGAAATGTCCTTGTCTCAAAAACTCTAACCTGCTACTCCCTTAGGGCTAGCAACATCACACTGGATTCGAATCACCTATCCTCATTCTCCCAAATAAACATACCGTTCCTGAACCGTGTGTTATATACCTTGCACCTATCTGAAACGATAGGTTTGTCTCAACGACGACGTCCACATGTGTCCAGATTTTTCATTCGCGACCTAATGGTCAGATCACTAAGACCGAATAGGATGGATGCGTTGCGAAAATCAGCATGCGCTCAAACTCATTTTTTCTTCTTCAGGCTAATTTAACGCTTGTGTCCCCATCCCACTGCTGTCAATCACTTTAATTGGATGTGTTATGGTCTAGGTATTCCTGCTGTCCACTGGCCATGGATGCTTCTGAGGCTGGGGACTAGCAATAATGCCCCTTCGTGTGCCGATTTTAGTCGTTCCGGTCATCACACTGATCACTTATCTGCAATTTTTCGTCTTGCTTGGCGAAGGTTAGGCTCGAAATCGGCTTTTAGAATGCCTCAGGATCCGTCCGTAGTTCGCTTTGATGTGAACCGGAAATTCGTTATCTTTCAATCTGTCGTCTATACACCCATGCACATTTGGCCGTTAACTGGAATTCATCGTAGCTGAACCCAGTCGAACAGTTGGGAGATAGACTGTCCTGTCATTACATTTGAAGTAGCCTGAATTCCACGGAACCCTTCTGATGAGTGTGTGAGCATTAAAAATCGCGATCATGTTCATGGCAATACACTGCGTTGAAACGAGCTATCATGCAACGATCTCAACAAAACGAGATCTTAACGTGGTGCGATGGTTTGCTTGTCTCAACAACCCATTGGACTATGCTGGGTAGTGCTTTCTGCACCTACAGAGTGGTCGGTGGTTAGGAGCCTGACAAACTCAGCTCCTGATTCTCCAAGTTGGAAATTGTAATGAAGACGGTGCCTTAGATATTTAGGCGGACTCCCTCTAATCTACTCTCAAACTTCCTTTGCCTTACGGTCAGAATTTTGAGCCAAAGACTGGTTTGGAACCCTAATCGTTCTACAGTCTATCCCTGGGCAACCTGACAGTATCTTGTCCACGTAGTACAAACAGTTTATTGCTATTGGAGGTGTTTCTGTGTTACTCCTCCCAACACTGACACTCCAATTGACCGGCTTCGTCTTTCTTTGGACTCATCAGTTTGAGCTGGGGCGGAACTCGAAGCCTAGTGGTTCACGGTTGTTGTCTTGATCACTAAGATCTGTGAGCAACGTTTGGCACAGCGGAAAGGAATTCAAGTTAAAGTACCCGCCGTGTGGTTGGATTGTGACATACAATCTCTTTTGGGGACCTCAGTCATTCCGACCATAAGGGCCGTATCCGCAATGGAGGTGTTCGGGTGTTGTTCCCCCCATGTACAACACCCAATATATTATCGCTTGTTTAGTTCCTTCAAATGGAACTCGTTCACGGATCTGGTTCGTTCGATGACTTGGGACAACCTCTTTCCATGTCCTCAACAAGCAGCGGACCTGTTTTATATTATAATTGCCTTCTGCATCGATTCAGCAGTGCCGCTAAAGTGTGTCCACCAAACTTACCATAAACTCGGTCGAAAAGTTTTAAAGGCAGCTTCACAACATTCGGCGGAGGTTCAGCCTAACTGCAGACTTTTCGCTCTCAATCCGGCAGTCAAAGATCATCGAAGAACTGAGGTGTCAGAATCATTCTACAAGAGTGTAGGGCTTTGAACGGCCATAGCAAAACAACTGAACTATCTAAACTATTCTGTGGTTCGCGTCGCAGCAACTCTTTCAATTTTATCATCATGTATGCTGGAGCATACTTCGATGCACCGGGTGATATATGTGAAGCTTTCAGCGCTTGTTTTTCCGGATCATTAGTTAATGAACCATCAGACGCCCCAGCGATTCTCTCACTCCGCACATCGGTGAAAGCCTGCACAATGGTGTTCACTATTGCGAAAATCATTGACCAAGTCTCTCGCTTATACTCCTCGACTTACGCAGGTGCTTCTGCATACATACGCCTGCATGTAGAATATGCAATGTAAGCATGTCAGCTGTGGCTGAAGCGGGGCCTCACGGTCACATCGCGCAACTAAAACTGCCAACGAATCGGACCACTTCCCTAAGAACAGCACCTGATTATTTTGGGAGTCTCCGGTGGACGCTATTGGCGTTTGCGTGGTGGGTCTTACCAAATCTTAAGCAACCCTAACCATTCGTGCTATTAGCTGCTAAAACAGCCATAACGATAGACTAAGAGGCCACCGTCTTAAACTGACGGAACAATACAGTCGGTTAGAGTGCATACGGAATTTCTTCACCTTACGTGTTTGCCACGTACGGAATTTACCACCAGAATCTGTTATTTCAGTTCCTACATTAGTGTGTTCATAGATCGTATCGACAATGCATTAACACACCTGAACCATACGCACACTCTGAGAAAAACTGTATTAACTCACAACCAGTTTTTATGGGAATCCCAAAAGTGGTGGCATTTCAAGTTGCATTAACCCATTTGTGGATGATTCAGACGGACGAAATTTTGCTTGGCAAGTTCACTGTTTTCGGTTGTTCTCTTTTATGGTCGTTTCTCCCCTTCCTTTGGAAACCCCCACGTACTATTCTGCGGGACATGTTAAGCCTAGTCTTTCTTATCCGCAATAAACCATTGAACATTGAAGGACCTGGTGGAATCCCCTCATGTTTAATAAAAGTGGTGGTAGCGACTTGCCTATACTTTCGCTCAACGTCTTTGCACTCACTTTTAAAAATGATGCTACTCAATGGAAGACTTCTGTTGTTATCTCGCGGCACGAAATGGGGCCGCTCACGAGGTTAGAAATTTTCGCATCTGTTGTAAACCTGCCTTCCTACTGCTGCTATTCTGCGCCTGTGAGACTACGACCGCCGGATTGCTCAATCACGTGCTCAACAAACCGACAGGATACAGAAGGCCAAGGCTCGGTAAACAGGGAGTCTATACTACACTGTAGGTCGGTTCTATTTGTTAGTGAATGAAACATACTAATTTCGGAATCGTTTGGCTCTCAGCCAATGTGAGTTAATTCCGTCCCACGGATTTTCCATATTGTGCAGAATGGTTCGCCTCCGTTGACTCGGGCTTGTATTTGCTGGCCAATCAGTTTACACTCGATTCCCAAATTTGGAAAAACAGTCGAAGGTCGTTCCACGCTCGTGCTGGTGACCTTCGCATTCAGCAGACAGCTCATGTGCTCATCGGTAAGCCTGTGCGCGACCTCGTATCTGGACATTGGCTCCGCTTACCTTTCTATTACCTCCCTCTTTGAATTGAATGCTCCTACCTATTTTCCGCACTTGGGCTTGGTCGTAGCTTTTTATCCTGGGGTCCACTTCTAGCCATCGCGGTTGCCTTCCTCTTCGACTTGGCCTGCATGTCACGTCGTGTGGCGTCTGTGCGACCGGCGGTGTTCTGCTTTGGAGATCAGTTCTGTTTTCTAAACCAAATGTATCCAGTGGTATGTCCCATTGTGGTGCCGCTGGTTCTTGATGTCTTTGAGTTTTGCCATGCCGCTGTCGTAGATGATTGATGTGTCTGGTCCACTGGTCCTTTCCGACCATTATCTCTTAAATAACATTACCCATCTTTCCGGGGTCTGGAAGTTCCGTGTATACACCAATTCGCCAGTCTTGAACGTGCGAAGCCTGTTATCCTGCCCCCTTCTCGGTTGTCCGTTACGTTTTCTAACATTTCTGGGAATCAGGCTATCAAAAGCCGTTCTAATTTTTCGTCCAAATAGACAATCAGAAGGAGATTTACCCCCCGGTGTGTTTGGATTCGGAGTGTTTCGATACATTCTCAAACACGGCTGGATTGCATCTCGTGACACCTTCGTTCCTTCCGCTTTGAGAAGAGCACGTCTAAAGGTATCTACAAACCGTTCGGCTTACCCATTCGATTGTGGATTGCTGGATTCCGTTTTGCATGCAAAATTCTCGGAACAATGTTGAGGTGAACTGGGTTCCGTTGTCTATAACCAGTATCTCAGGGGTGCCAAAATACTGGAACAGTTCGTTCAGCTCATTGATAGTGTGCTGGGCGACGGGATTTTGCATCGGAATCACGTCGGGCTATTTTGTGTTGGAATCAACAAAAGTCAAATAAGGTTGACCGTTGATTGGTCCCGCGTAATCCAAGTGGATTCTCTGCCACGGCTTCTACAACTCAGGCCAAGGGTACCACGAACATTTCGGAGATGCCTTTGCCGCTCGTTGACAAGATTCACAACTTTGGCAAAATAGCTCGATTTCTGCATCCACTTGAGGTCAATACACAAAACTTCGCGCCAGTGCCTTCATTCGGCTGGTTCCCAGATGTCCTGAATGAAACTGGTGTAGTATTCGCTTCCGCATCTTGGTACCACGACTCGGTCTCCAAACATTAGACAATTGTCAACGACCGAAAGGGATCCACGTCGATTAAAGAAAGGTTGT